ATGATTCTAAATGTAATTAGAGTTCCCTTCTCATTTGCTTTTACAAATGTTTGCACGCTTCCAGAATGTAGTAGTTTAGCAACACACCAGAAGTTCGAGTCTTAGGAAACCATTGTCTGTTGTATATCTGTCAAAAAAAGTCACTTATTATAGCTGCACAAATAAAAAAAAAAATAGAAACCAAATCAAGTTGTTTCCAAATCCATTTTAAGGTTACAAGCTAAAACTTATTTCTATGAAGGAAATAAACTTACTATTTGAAGGATCCCAAAAAGGAAAGTGTAGCAACCAATATTATAAGATTTGATCACAGGATTAAATGTCGTTTTACAAAATAATTTAAAAACAACTTTGATAAAGTAATATTGTGAAATATTACTGTTTTTACTGTATTTTTGCTCAAATGGATGCAGCCTTGGTGAACGTAGGAGACAGAATGGTTGAATTGTTGTGTTTGTGAATCTGAATTAAGAAATGAATTATTTGGCTATTTGTAAGTAATGGTATGTTAGATGGACTGGTTACAATTTATTTCATGGATAATCATGCAGTTGCTTGACAGTTTAGTGTATGACTTTTACTCATGTTTTCACAATCTGATCTTTAAAGCTGCCCATTTTACTTGAATATGATGCATTTCCACATAAAACAGGATATTAACACGTGGAACCCTTTATCTATTGGGACTTGATTTAATCATAATTGGGAATTTTATTTCAGAAGTCAGACCATATTAGATGAACCCCTTTTCTTTGCTTGATGCTTTTTTTTTTTTTTTTAACCAGTTAGTGCTGAGCTAAGCTGTTAGCTTACTAGCTAATGACTAATGAAACACAAAAAAGAAATTGTATAATTTAACTGTTTTTAACTTGAGTAATATGTGGAGAGACCTTTTGTCTGGTTTCCTGGTCTTACTTTATTTAAACTTTGTTTTTGCCTTGCGGTTCACTTGCTTGAGTGCATCTCATTGTGTCCCAGTTCCCATCATAGCAATTTCTTTTCCCTAAAATAGTAGCCTAAACAAATGCCTTAATGTTAACCAAAAGCTTGTGTGGCCTCTGTGACATCAACTGAAAGGCAAAGTCATTTGAGAGGCAAAGCAAGATATTATATTTCAAAGAAAGATTATATTAACTTTTTCAATAGCATGCACAATAACACCAGGAAAATGTAGACTTTAAGAGCAGCAAAAGTGCTGTTTCAATCATTAGCAATGTTAACCCAGATATGATTTATCATGTGACCACAAACAAAAAATGAAATAGAAAACCACTAAAGCTTCTGTTTTAAATAAAGGTATAAAAATCTCCACCCATAACTTTGACATGAATTTTAACAAAAGTTTACCCTTAATGTCAAAAAAAGAATAGAAAAATAATTTTAGAAAACTTTCAAAAAAAAGTTTAGAATTTACTGTAGATAACTGACAGCATAAATTAATACCATCATAAAGCAACACAAGTGAGAGGTTACTAACCCACAACAGAAAGTGTATTATTTGTGATGGGTTCAGAGTCTAGAGACCGTCATAAGAAAAACTAACTCTACAGTAGCTCCTGGTATTGAGCTTCCACAAACGCTAAATATTTGATCATGCATTGTGTTTTAGGAGCCAACTCACTACTTAATACCATTTGCTATAAAACTTTTGTGAAAAACAAATGAAAAGCTATTACCAGTCACATAGATGCATAATTTTTGTAGCATATTTGAAACCATTTGGTGACCTTTAAAAACATTTGTTCAATGCAGACAAAGATGCATATATATTAAGGTCCACATCCTGTTACCTGTATCTTCTGATACAATAATGTCACTTCAAGATCAGTAAATAACTTGCATTGTTTCAGATATTATATTTCATATATTGGTTCTACTTCCACTTCTGATTTCCGAAAAGGACTTTCTATAGTACACATACGATCATTTGCATTTTGAGCTTGTTTTCAAAAATATTGCACTAGCATTGATGATTAAGAATGTTACAGCATCCAGAACTGAGCATGCGGTGCAGAAGGTCTGTGATACAGAGTAAATGTCTCTTGTTTAAAATGCTAACTTAAAGCCTTGCAAAATAAACACAGGATTTTACATTGGATTTGTATGAGAGAGTTGCTACATTTGCTAAGGGTGCTTTCTGAGAGTCACTTGGATGCATCCTTAAGTATATTTTGAAGAGCTCAGAAGTGTAGGCTATAAAGTTTTGCTTGCTTTGGGATTTTTATTGATTGTGATATTCTGACAATTTTGCACAATTCAAATAAAAAGAAAATAAAAATTCAAATATAGCCACAGAAGGTGCCAATAGAGCCAATATTATGTTTACATTTAAAGGTGAAGTGTGTCTCTCTTTTGATGTTCAGTTACTTTGTCATATGCAGAGTCAACTATGTGTAAAGCCACCTTTGCACTGCACATAACAAATGATGTCTGGCAGACTGGAATTAATTAATCTCCTATGGAGAGAGACACAGGCTCATGGGATCATATGCGGATGTGTAATTTTTTTGGATCCGATTCAAGCTTTGGATGTATTCAAAATTTTGAACTTGCGATATTAGACCGCATGTACAATGTTGACCTGAATTGAATGAAAACGCTTAATGGTTGTAAAAATGCAATAAGGAATAAAATTAATATTTGTATTTGTTTTGTCTGTTCCCAAAAAATGGTAGTCATTTGCCCTATATGCATAGCTAGCTATTGTTTATATTTGATTATTCATTTTCTGCCATGGTGAGGGTAAATGTTCATTACAACTGCCACTAGGGGGTGAATTCCAGACATTTTATTTATCTGAATGTTCCCTGTAATGAAAATGTGGCTTACGACATTCATAGGTTGATTTCCTGAAAAGTGTAACACCGTCCCCTCACCGGGACATGCTTACTTCCCTGCTAATAGTATGCAAAACATAGTACGTCAAATTGGCACTGTCCAAATTCGCAGAATTCATAAAACAGTATGTGAAAAATACCCAAATTGTTTACTACTAACACCTTGAATTGTATAGAGATTGCAGAGACGTTTTACTACCCCATAAGACCATATGAGTGGATTCGTCAATGGTGGGGATGTGAAATGACTAATGTTGTAGGTCACAATGTAAACATGATAAATGTACAGTCATGGCCAAACGTTTTGGCAGTGACATAAATTTTGTGTTTTGCTAAGTCTGCTGCTTCAGTATTTGTAGATAATTTTTCCACATATGTGACACTGGACAACAAAACCAGTCATAAGTGTCAATTTTTCTAAATTGAGATTTATTCATCATATGAAAGCTGAATAAATAAGCTTTCCATTGATGTATGGTTTGTTAGGATAGGACAAATATTTGGCCGAGATACAACTATTTGAAAATCTGGAATCTGAGAGTGCAAAAAAAAATCCAAATATTGAGAAAATAGCTTGTAAAGTTGTCCGAATGAAGTCCTTAGCAATGCATATTACCAATCAAAAATTAAGTTTTAATATATTTACGGTAGGAAATTAAAAAAATATCTTCTTGGAACATGATCTTTACTTGATATCCTAATGATTTTTGGCATAATAGAAAAATCAATAATTTTGACCCATACAATGTATTTTTGGCTATTGCTACAAATATACCCCAGCGACTTGAGACTGGTTTTGTGGTCCAGGATCACATATTTCTATGGTACACTGAAAAATAATAAGCATATAAGTTTTAAAGGCTTTTATTGGCCAAAAAATATGAGTCAATATTTACAGTGTTGACCCTTGTTCTTCATAACCTCTGCAATTCGCTCTGGCATGCTGGATATTAGCTTCTGGGCCAAATCCTGACTGATGGCGATCCATTCTTGCCTTATTAGTTCTCGGAGTTGATCACAATTTGTGGGCTTCTGCTTGTCCACTCGCCTTTTGAGGACTGACCACAGGTTCTCTATGGGATTGAGATCCGGGGAGTTGCCTGGCCACGGATCCAAAATTTCAATGTAATGTTCTTCGAGCCACTTCTTTATCACTCTTGCTTTGTGACAGGGTGCTCCATCATGCTGGAAAATGCACGGATCATCACCAAATTGCTCATGGATCGTTGGGAGAAGTTGCTCTTTGCAGGACATTTTGATACCATTCTTTATTCATGGCAGTGTTTTTGGGCAGAATTATGAGAGAGCCCACTCCCTTGGTTGAAAAGCAACCCCACACATTGATGGTCTCAGGATGCTTCACTGTTGGCACGTCCCAGGACTCATGGTAGCCTTCACCTTTTTTCTTCACCGAACAATCGATTTTCCAGATGTCCCAAACAGTCGGAAGGGAGCTTTCTCAGAGAAAATAAGTTTGCACCAGTCTTCTGCTGTCCAATCCTTGTACTTCCTGCAGAATTTGAGTCTGTCCTTGACGTTTTTCTTGGAGAGAAGTGGCTTCTTTGCTGCCCTTCTTGACACCAGGCCGTTGTCCAAAAGTCTTGACCTCACTGTGCGTGCAGATGCTCTCACACCAACCTGCTGCCATTCCTGAGCAAGCTCTGCACTGGTGGTGACACGATTCCGTAGCTGACTCCTCAGGAGGAGACGGTCCTTCCACTTGCTGGACACTCTGGGACGTCCTGAAGTCTTCTTCACTGCAGTCGAACCTCTCTCCTTGAAGTTCTTGATGATCCGAAATTATATGCTTCACCTTTGAATGTACATTCCCAGTGACCTCAATCAAAATTCCAAATCGTTTGGTTAGGCATTACATAAATGGTCGACCTGACACTTGCATTGATGTTTTACGAATGTTTTTACACAATTGGTTCTGCTTGTGTTTTGTGAATAAGGCCCAATGTGTGCAAAGCATAAAGATTCTGAAGTATGAGTGTCATAGGCCCTTCACTGCTGTCGAAGCTTTGAACCAGTCTCCTTAAGCCAGGGATCTCCAACTCTGCTCCTGGAGAGCTTCATCCTGCAGATGTTAGTTCCAAAACACCTGCCTGTAATTATCAAGTAACTCTGAATACCTTGTTTAACTAATTCAGGTGTGTTTGATTGGGGTTAGAGTTGAAATCTGTAGGCCGATCGCTCTCTAGGAGCAGGGTTGGAGACCCCTGCCTTAAGCTGTGAAACGTTAATGAGCCGACTTCGCCGCTACAGCTGTGTCGTAACCGACTCGTCTTGTTCCCAGCTGGAGGAGCTCAAACTGTCACAGGGTCCCACCCAGCCGTGGCACAGATCATCACTGGAGGCCAGGAGCTGGGCACTGGAGGCAGTCAGGCTGGAAGCACAGTGCAGCGGGGGCAGCGAGTGGCTGGGTGGCAGGAGGAGGAGACTGTCCCTGCCGTTTGCCCGTTGAGATGTGGTCTGCATTGGGTTCTGATCTGTCTCTGGTGGTCCCGGTCCCAGTCCCAGTGTGTGCAGGTGCATCTCGCTCTGTGTTCCCTTCGACAGCACCTGGGGACCATGCCAAGATGTTTGCGGTACGCTGTCTGAAATGCTGTATGCAGACTTTTGATCTCCCTTGGTCTCCGCATGTTGGTCCGGGATGTGTCCGTTCATACGAGACATTAGCATTCCCAAGCGTGGCAAAGAGTTTTTCTTGGAACGCGAAAAGCGCTGCAGACGGCTGCTGGTCCGCACAAATGCAGAGGAGTGGGATATGTTGTTCCTCAAGCCATTGCTTTCCGGTCTGCCTCTGACCGGTCCCGACATGGACTTGAAGAGAGCTGATACGCTGAACTGGGACTCTCGGTTTCTCCTGTAACATTGGGAGAAGGACGTAGATGCTTTAGATCTAGACGACTCTCCCCCATCCCCACATCCGGGTCCTCTGAGCCTATCGTCTTCCTCGCCCTCCTCTTCCTCAGGCTCAGCTGTTTCGTCCTGCTGAGTGGCCTCGCTACTAGAAGAGTATGTGCGGCGCGGTGGTTTACGGTTGCCCAGCAGGTCAAGAACCTCGTAGCGGAAGCTGGAGATGTCCTGCTTAAGTTCCTGAATGCAGAGAAATGGAATTCAATTACCGGAGCGTAAACTGCACCACCTAATTACAGGAAATATTCTAACATTATGACTATCTTCATGACTTCTGGTTCTTATGGTTTTCCTTGCAGACTTTAGGGGTGATTCATATCTGGAGTTCCATAATCAATCTCTCCCCAAATGTCTGATGTTTAATATACAGGAGATGATGGTGTCACAAAATAGAAACCAAGCAACCAACAAAATGTCCTGTTGCATACAGGCTGGAAATTGGATTAATGTGGAATTACTTGTTGTTTTGTCATATTATACTAGTGGATAGTTCACTTTACACTTTAAAGGAGACATATTATGCCCCTTTTACAATATGTAATATAAGTCTCTGGTGTCCTCAGAATGTGTCTGTGAAGTTTCAGCTCAAAATACTCCACAGATCATTTATTATATCATTTTGAAAATGCGTATTTTGAGTGGAAGACACGTGTTTCTTTGGAGGTAACCATTGCTAACAAGATTGCTAACAATGATTGGAAGCGCTTCTTCCCTCCTTTTATAGCAATCAGTCTGCTCTTACAATCTAATTAGTATGATAGTATGATAGTGTGCAATATTCTTTGTAGCAATTTCTTTGCATGTGAGGCCATTTTGATGCAAAGTGATGATGGCTACACGTGTTTCTTTGGAGGTAACCATTGCTAACAAGATTGCTAACAATGATTGGAAGCGCTTCTTCCCTCCTTTTATAGCAATCAGTCTGCTCTTACAATCTAATTAGTATGATAGTGATTTCACCTGACTAGTACTCATTCACACTTTCACGTGTGCTGCTGATATGATTAGCCAATTAATGTCATTGTTTTTTTGGTGAAAAGTAAGTTTTTTGGCCAATGACGCTTTTAACAATTATTTAAAATGCATCTGATCACCCTACACAATAATCTAGAAACCGTGTGAATGAACACCACAACAGCTTAAGCAGCAAACTTTGCAAAACACAAAATACCGTGTGTTTATACCGCCGTGGGTATAAACTTACAGATTATGGGCGGTAATATTATAATGAGATCCCTTGGCCACGTCACCAAGGGAGCGAAATCAGACGCGCTCGTTTTCTCAGACGCTTGCAGAAAAAGGCTTAAAGCAAAGTGACTGGGTTAATCTTTTTCACGTTTCCTTGGTTGGTAGATGCACTGGGG